GTTAGTCCTGCTACATCCACTGGACTTAATACACATGAGGCTGCTTTCTGTCATTTGAAATTAAACTTTGATGCAAAAAAAGAGTACAGAAGTCTGAAACATTAATGAATTAGTAAAAGTTTTGCTTAGTGTTTCATATTGTTATTTGAACAAATTGTCTTATTTTTGTGTTGGTGGACGTAGATAGAAAATCCAGCATTATATCAAGGTCCCTCCTTCCTTCTAGCTCTGATTTGCTCTGACTTTTTGTACTAAGCAGGGAAGAGTAAAGTGTAGGCTGACACAGTCTCTTTGACTCGTTTAGATTCCCAACTCTTCAGGGAGTAGTTGTTTGTGCTGTTTTGCAGTTGGGGAACCACTGTACATGCGGTCATTGAACTTCTGTTCCCATACATGATTGTTTGGTGTTCAGGAAAAAACACAGAAGGGAGCATTGCAGCTGAGGAAGAAGTCCCTAAAGTAAATATCCAGGGTTCCTCTGGGGTTCATCCGGGGTCAGGTCACTTCCTGGATCTGAGGAGACCAGAATGGAATCAGGAAGAGGCGCTGACTTCACACAGAGGATGAAGGCTCAAACCATCAGCAGGGAAGGCTTTTCTTTCTGTTTACATCAGACTACTCTTGATTGCTTCTGTAGCCCTCTGGGAAGGATGGCGATTTCTAGGATCTGACTGAATTCATTCACGCTACCTTGTGAATGCCTCAGAACCTCAACCTTCCTAGGGCATTTTTTTTCTTTTTAAAGGAGGAGACTGACTTACCTATAGAATTCTCTAAGTGGCCGTATTCAGTTAGTTCAATAGAGTGAAATGGAAAAGCATATTCCAGCTGATAATGGAGGAAAACCAGGAAGAAATTGTTAGAAGCTGAGCCTTCTCTGGCAACTTCTTCTCAGGCTTAACTCCAAAGCTGTTCTTCTTACCATAACTTCTCTTTTTCAACAACAACCAAATAAACCTTTTAATGTTTCCTGGCAATAGGAGCAAGTTTAGGCTCTCAGGGTTGCCACAGTATTATTTGGGTTTATTTGAGCCAAATTTCAAGTGGAGCACTTAGTGCAGGAACATTAGAGAAAATGGAAAAATTAGTCAAAGAAAGGCTGTAAATAAATCTTAGTAAAAAGTTCAATATGAATTGCAACCATATGCACCTTTCTTTAAAGGTCTGGAGAGCTGGGTTTTCCTCCCAGCTTTTCCACATTTAGGCAAGTCCCATGACTCAAGCTGGTCTAAGTTTTCTCTTATGAGAAATGATTGGTGCCTGCAGTTTATTCAGCACAGAGATTTTAACAGAGCATTTATGTGGAATACCTGAGTGTGGACAAAGAATATGAAAGAGAAAATTCGTCCCAGAGAGTTTGACAGTATACCTGTTACTTCTAAGAAAAACATTGATGGGAAGGTACTGATGCTCTTGTCCAAATCTTTTTGGGTTTCTGTAGATTTCACAGTTCAGTACTCTCTCTGTCCATTATTGCCATATATAATTCAGAGTTAAACATTTAAAATAATAAACCATATTCTCAGGTTATACAGTAATGGAATGCACATGCACATATGATTAATCTTGAGAATTCCACATTTTCTATTCATTCTATGTATTTATACACCATTGAGTTGATGTGAGGTTTAAAGCAAGTTAAAGATGGTGCTGGGCCTTCAGGAATCACTCCACTGAAGGAGACAACTGCAGAACAAGGCTGATTTGATGAGTTCTCCTGTGAGATTAATACAAGCTATGGAGCTCCAGGGTTCCAGAGGCCTGAGGATCTATGCTGATAAGCTGGACTGTCTTGCAGTAGAAAGGGTTCGTTCAGGCCAGTCTGTGAGATTGAGTTTTCTCCAACTGCACTTCATCATCCAGAAGCAGGCGCTGGTTCATGGCTTGAGGCTGGTTGCCGCAGTAGGTATGAGTGTTGATTGGAGAGAAAGACTGGGCTGAGTCTGTCCTAAGTGTCAGGCTGGGGCATGACCCCTAAGGGAAGGAGCAGAGGTCTGCAGAGAAGGCAGCTAGCAAAAGACATGCTGTTCTTAAAGTGACCAGGCTTCTTCATTTCTCTTAATGGTCCTTGATTGTTGACAATGAGTAGGACACTTAAGGTGACTGCTGAAGCAAAGGAAGTATTCAGGGCGGTGATCCTTTCTGCCCCCATCATCATATATTAATTAACTGGGATTGAAGGTTGTCCCCTGAAGCTATGTATCTGCACTTTTCTCTCCAATACAGTGTTGCGTGATGGAAACAGCACAGGATTTTGAAACAAAAGCAGTGTCTCAGAGCCCTACCCACTTGTCACCTGTATGAGTTTAGGAAAGTTGCTTACCTTTGATGGGCCTGATTTCCTTTCTTTTTTTTCAAAGATTTTTATTAGGGAATTGGGGAAGGGGAACAGTGTTGGGGAATTGGGGAAGGGGAATAGCCAAGTTGTTGTCCTTCCATCTTAGTTGAGGGCACAGCTAGCTCAGCTCCAAGTCCAGTCGCCATCCAGCCACCCGTTGGCAGCTCGCAGCCGCTCAGCTCAAGGT